GCACCATCTCTCTATTTTCAAGTTCTTCGCAAAGCCGAATGGCCAGAGATTCACAGACATTCCGATCGTCATTGAAACACATTGCGGGTAGCATATTTTTCTCGTTCATTTCATCAACAAGTCGAACGATATTGTCCAAGGCAAGTTTTTCCTAGAGAAGACAATTTTAGCAATGCACTTCTGATACGAATTTTATTGCTACCTTATTAAAAGGAACAGCGCGATGCTGGAGTTGTTCATCGATGGGTTTTGCTAAGATGTTAAGCACCTGGAAGAAAAGTTGAGAAAAGTCTTGAGCACTTACGTAATAACAAAAAATACCTTTTTCATCTTCTCCTCATCCTCAGCGAGCCACTGCAGCAGGCGATGCTTTAAGCCGTTTTCAAGCTTTCTCAGCGCAGAACGTGACAACCAGAGAGGTTCACCGGCTTTGAAGCCGTAAAAGCTACAAGGCTCAAACTCTTTCCTGAAGATCAGAAAATTTTATATCGATAGATTCCAAGTTATGATTTGAAATTTTGGAAGTACTTGGTTTTCTCATCCACAGCGGCCATAGTTGTGTAGAGTTGCAAAATCTGCCGTGCTGTTAGCTGTTGATCATCAGGAATGCCAAACATCCTAATTTTCTCAGGCATGAACACACCGTAAGGCATAAATGGCTCGATGATATCTCCATCAATTGAGTCCAGCGATGCTGACGAGGCATCTCCAAGCTCTGCAAGTCAAAAGTCAACAAATTTAAAAGTATTTATAATTTAAATAAATACCACTATTAGGTATGGCTTCAATGGGTTGTGGCTTCGCTACACGCATGATGGCTAATTCCAGCTCAGAATAGCGCTCGTGATGAACGATAAGATCGACCTAAACATGATTCCTTACAATGTGGTACTCAACGTTTACAATTATCAGCATAAAACTCTGTCAACGCAGCTTACAAAAAAGGAAGAACGTTTAGATTAGTAATCAGGGTCATTAAAATTTCTCTTTTTTTTTGCTAGATTGCAGATATAACCGCAGGTTTCGTCGGAGTGCTTTAGTGAATTGGAATTCATACCTTACGCTTATGATCTGTTTTACTCTTTTCAG